TCAAGAACTGTTTTCAAACTGTTTTACTTTAATAAACTTTATGTTTAAAAGTATTATTTAAATCAGAATACATTTTCATACAAGGTCAATTTATCCTACTGCTGCTATGACTTTATATATACATACATAATAATTACTTATATATACTCTTACAACAGTAGCTAGTATCTGTTGCACATTATTACTACTTAATTACTACTGATATTTATTGCATATTTATTACAAACTTGACTTTAATATTTACAAACCTATTACAACATGTGTTTATCCTTTAAGACTCTTAGCAAATTTCATGTTGTTCATTAAATGAATTCTTTGATAGTTTCATGAAAAATGTTATATTTTTCCATTTTTATTTGCCCATCAAATTTGTGCTTGTTAGTAATATTTAAAAATATGGAAGTATAGTTAATTTTGGCTACAACACAGACAATTGTCTGTAGAGGAAATATGTAGTAGCAGCATTGTTTTGTATTGTTTAGTTGAAAATATTTTGGTGGTATAAATATCTTGTTGGGATCTGTCTACCCAGGTTTTCGTTGCTATCCAAGTATTGGGATTCCAAATGTCAACAACAATAACATCAACACATCTTTTAAATGAAACATAAAAAGGTTATTCTCTGTAGGAAAAGCAGTAAAACATCAGTTGAAATAACATTTATATATTCTTTTCAGAATTGTACAATACAATAAAATGTTCAATTTTCCTTGCAGTGAAGTTTGTTTTATCAAGTAATTAAGTGTTCATAGAACAGTGTGAAATGTGTAGACAAACTTACTTTATGATGGCCAGTCTAATGTTTCTGTCAGAGTGTGGACAAGGCCTGCTGGCTCATCTCTATTCCATTGTGCACATATGTGTGGTCTCTGAAATTGTTTTGAACCCTGAGAAGAAGTAGGCTTCTATTTTTATGTCCATAATATATATATATATCTATATCTGGAATCTAATTTCACATAGATGTGTGAACTTTTTGAATACAAGGTTTTCATTACTTAGAAAATAATTTCACGCTGGCTTATGAACATCATCTCAAATTTGCAGAAGTGGTGAAAGGAGTTATTATTGTTATTTTCTAAATGGCCCCAAAATAACATGTGGTAGGTCTACAACTATGTTTGACAAGTATTTTGGTGATATTCGCCCTTATAATGATTGTTTATCAAATAAACCTTCTAATGGGATTTTATTGTTTGAAAAGTATATGTAGAATTTAATTCTTATAGCCTCCTTGGTAAATATACATACCAGAATATTTAAAATAATCTCTCATAATCAACAATTTAACCAACCATAGAGGTTAGGTAAATGCATATTCAAAAGTTGTGACAAAAGTTGTTAAATTAGTAAATATTTTAATTTTAACCCTGAAAGTAAAAGGTGTTGGATTTAGAGTTTTTCTATGACAGAATGAGGTAATATTTTCCATGACAGAATGAGGTAATATCTTGAGCAAATAACATCATATACTCATTAAAAACACTCTTTTGGTTTGTTTCTAAATAATAAAATCAACCAGTCAAGCTATAATTAGGTGAGATTTTATACTGTATTTGATATGAGGGATCTCTCTATAATGTAAGCTGTGAACAGCATAAATTAATTCTGCAACTTACCATTGAATGCCTCTAAATTCTTTTTAAGAGAAACATAAGATAAAACTGTAAGAAAAGAAATACAACAATAATTTAAAATCTTTCAGATACTTTTTAATTAAATTAACTTTGATTCTGAATATATTAACTGTGGTTGAAAAATATCATCAAAAGTTTTATATAGAATCAGCAAAGTAAAACCAATAATTATTGTTGCTCTGAAACAATGAAGTAAGATTGTTTGAACAAAAACTCATTTCAGTAATTCCTAAAATGATAAAGGAGAAAGAATTTTATAGATAATAATAATAATAATAATAATAATGACATGGCAGTCCCTGCAGATTGTAATGTATCTTTGAACATCTTCAAAAAGCTATCAAAATACTAGGATCTTGAAATGGAAATCTCAAAAATGTGGCACCTGAAGACATCAATAATTCCAGTTGAAGTTGGAACCCTTGGATTGATTGGAAAAGTGTCCAATAGATTCATTGAAGGGATTCCTGGTAGCCTACACCTTAAAGAAATACAAAAAATTGTACTCACAAGTACAGCTCACATTACGAAGAGCTTTATCTATGTAAAATATGTGTGATCTTAGGTATTTGATTTGTTTTTTTACAAAAAATGATCAGTGGAAAATGTCATGAAGCCATTTCTGAGCTTAGATCTCTGGTTGGGACCGGGAAGTAAATGTGTATATAACAGAAATCAAAGGAAAGAATAATAATAATGATAATAATAATAATAACAGCAGTCAGATCCTATCACTGTCACATAATCAAAGATGGAACTAACGTAAAATGCAGTGTCTTTGGAAAATATGATGAAACTGTCAATCATATTATCTCAGGATGTCCAGAACTGGCAAAAAATTAATATAACCAGAGACATAACAAGGTAGTGACATATGTGCACTGGAAGATATGCAAGAAGCACAAAATCAAAACCACTCAGAGATCGTATAAGCATCAATCAGACACAGTTACCCAAATTAATAATGTAACTATCCTCTGGGACATGCCAATTCAAACTGACAAGGAAATAAAAGTCAACAAACCTGAGATTATCATAAAAGACAAGAAATTCAGGAAGTTGTGCTTATTGGCATAGCAGTACCATCTGAGAGAAACACCTCCATAAAAATTATTGAAAAATTGTCCAAATACAAGGACCTGGAGATCTAGATTAACAGGATGTAAGGAATGAAAACTGAGACTGTACCAATAGTAATCAGAGCTCTGGGCTACGTGAGAAAAGAAATGGACAATTTTATTAATACTGTCCCAAGAAACATCAACAAACAAGTTGCCCAGAAAATCGCCCTACTCGGAACATCCCATATACTAAAATAGTGCTATCAATTAAATGACAATTCTCCTTATAGAGCCTAAGGACCATAGTTTGGACCTGGCTCTACAGGATACAAAGCCAAGCAGGAAACACAACATACACAAATAATAATAATAATAATAATAAACTCATTGAAGGGATTCCTGGTAGCCCATACCATAAAGAAATACAAAAAAATGTTCTCACAAGTACACACATTACAAAGAGCTTTATCTATGTAAAATGTGTGTGATTTTAGGTTTATTTTTTTACAAAAACGATCAGTGGAAACTATCATGAAGTTATTTCTGACCTTTCTCTGGTTGGGGACCAGAAGGAAATGTGTATACAACAGAAATCAAAGGAAATAATAATAATAGCAATAACAAAGATAATTTATGCCTAACAAAATACATCAACCAATAAATTACTGGAGGATAATGCATTTAAAGCAAGTAGACTTTCATAAATAAATAGGTCAATAGTGAAAAAATAGATAAATAAAAAGTGACTTTCCTTCCAACTTGGAATTTTGCAAGCACAAATCTGTTCAACAGAGGTAAAATAAATCTATTAAATTTATTAACAGATATCACATCCATTTCACAGGATTACTGCTCATTGTTGCTGGCCTTGTTTTGACAAGTCAAATGAAGGTGTTTACTACTAATCCCTTTAGGAGAAAAGGGAAGTTGATATTTTGGCCAACAACATATGAGAGAAAGAAAGGGAAAAAGATCCTTCACGTGCATTAAATGAACAATGAAATAACCTCATCAAGCAAATTTGTATACAAATAACAATAACGGTGACAATTAAATGAAAGATAAAATGCATTCTTTGAAGAGTTAATAAGATTTTGTAAAGAGTATAGAGAAATTAAGTTTGGAAAAACAAATATCCATTTATGTATTGATGTGTGAGTCTGTGCATAATATATATAGGTGTGACGATATATATATATATATATATATATATATATGGTAGACTCTCTCATTGCACATGACAAATGAGGGATCAGTAAAATAAAGAGGTGCTCAACTTCTATGTACATGCATGTGTCTCCAAATGCCTGCAGATGTTTTGCCAACTTTTAGGCAGTTGGAACATGTGGTTGAGCCATTTTGCTTCAGTGGTTGAGGATCAATTGCCACATGTTTTCACAAGTGGAGAGAAAAATCTGCTTTATTGCATGTGACAAAGCCACAGTAGCAGGTAAAGCCATTATTGAGAGGAGCAGCATTTTGACAACTTGCACACAAACCTTTGCCCAGCTCCTTTGCTTTAATGCTTTGTTTTACCCAGGAAGAAAAAAAGGATGCTGCATCACTTCAGATTATCTTTGAGTTTATCTTAGAAATACAAGAATGGTCTTCCAAATGACCTGCTTTTTAGAAGCTGGCCAAAGAAGAGTTGTTTTGGAAGTCTGCTATCGCTCATATGAGAAAGACATCCTGACCACCTGAGTTGGATTTTCCTTAGGATGGCTTCAATACCCATCATGTTGTATTTAGTTAGTACTGTTTCTAATGCAATCAACCAGTTTTCTGTTGCAGATTGTATGTAGGTAATGCATGTGGAAGGCATCAAGTTTATATATATGCATGAGTGTATGCATATATATTTATGGACAGAAGTAACTTAACTCACTTAGGAAGTTTCTTTTCCTGTGGTCAACATAGTTTGATGCTTGGCCAAGTATTTTATCTCACTTGGGCTGATCTCTCTGTATGCCATGAGTATTCATATGAGAAAGGATTTAGTGTGTTGTAAGTAAGTGAATGTGCTGTGAGTGCTCCTGTGTATGTTTGCTGTGGGTATTCTTGTGTGTGCTCCTGTGTGCACTTGCTTTAAATCCCCCAAGTGTCTTTTGGTCCATTCTTATATAGGCTGGAGATAGGCTCCAAATAAAAGCCAAAATTTTATATTTTTTGGTCATGATTGCATTGTTTGTGAAGAATCACATGATGGGATGACTATGATGTCCACATAAAGGCAAAACAAAATCTGCTTTTTGTGTATATTTTTAGACTTCATGAAATTTTAAATCAATAGATATGAATAGACTTAGATAGATAGATAGATAGATAGATAGATAGATAGATAGATAGATAGATAGATTATCATCAGTTTCTATGTGGCGGACATGAGACAGAACCTGGGACGAGCACAACTGGTCGCGCCTTGCCTTGTCCCCGCCAAAAAAGAGCCCGTATTTGCTTAGCATGTAAAGCTACTGCAGTTGAAATGAGGGAGAGAAAAAAGCACTTACCGCTCTGCCGTAATCCATCCTCGGCCAGATAACGTAAAAGAATGAGGGGGAACTGGCATCGCATTTTTATGCAATAACGATGCAATGCATTATGGGACATGGACGCAATGAATTATGGGATCACATGAAGACGCAAGGGATTATGGGTACATGAACAACTATAAAAACAACTACTTTTTTTCCGAGTCGGGGAGTTCTTCGAGGGACGTTCACGGTTGACGGCAAGAACGGGCAGTTAGTGCGATTTGGAGACAGAACTCAAGAAGGAACGACTCAAGTTTAAAATACCAGCTGGGAGAGCTTGAATTTACTCGCTGGTTACTGTTTTCTTCATTCGCCTCAAGCTATTTCGGCATATTGATTCTTCAAAATGGAAGGAAAGGTCTTTGACGTCCGTTTGATTCCAGAATTCAGCGGCGCCCCAACGGATATGCCCATTGTTGAATGGATAGAAAATGTGGAATTGGTCTGCGAACTTTGTGCCATGGACAAGATCGAGCGCATCTTGCCTTTACGTCTTCCAGGCGGTGCCCTTGCTGTGTATAGACAACTCAGTGGAGAGCAGAGGGCAGACGCGGAACAAATTAAACGGGCCCTTATGACTGCATACGCGACTGACAGATTTAATGCGTTCGACCAATTTATGGGACGGCGTCTTCGCCCAGGGAAAACTGTGGATGAATTCCTAGCTGAAATGCATCGTTTGGCGCGGCTAGTAGGAGAACCGCTACCTGATCGGTGGATGGCATGTGCATTTGTGTCAGGACTTCCACATCATGTTAGGCAGCTTCTCAAAGCTTCTTCCAGGATGGACGACATGAATCTAGAACAAATTCTGACCCGAGCAAGGGCTATTATGACGGATGACGAAGGGTGCCAGGTATTGGCCGCCGCATCCGTAGAGCTAACGCGCTCAGAAGCTGAGGTTCCCCCTGCCAAACCTGTTAGCAGAACGATTACCTGCTACAAGTGCTCTGGACCCAACCATATGGCAAAGAATTGTACACAAGGACGTCAGGAGAGGTCAAACAGAACGCAGAGGTCTGGTCGCGACAAGCGGTGTTTTCGATGCAACGGCATTGGACACATTTCCTCAGAATGCCAGGGAAACGCCCAAGGGGAGAAGGCGTCAGCGCCAGCCTTCTCCCCGAGCAAGTAAAAACCCGGAAGTTACCCACCGTACAAGTATTTGTAGATGGAGTAGAGTGCACAACTCTAGTGGATTCGGGATGCTCACAGACGTTGGTGAGCAAGACTGTGTGTCGCTGCTGGAAGCAGGAAGAGGTGGGAGTGTTGACTGCCGACGGGAAGACCCTGAAGTGCCGTGGATACGGTAAAATTAAGTTGGGCGTCGAGCAGATTCAGCCCGTGACTGTTGAGGTTCTGGTCGTGGAAGGGCAGTTGCTAGGATTCGATCTTCTTCTCGGGATTGATGCAATCAAAGTGCTCGGAGGTGTTTACTTGACCGAATCAGGCGAAGCTCGTTTCGGAAACCTGAACACATGTGCCGCCATTGTTATCAACAAGCCTGACTTTAGAGTGACGTTTAACCCGAGCACGAAAACGTGGACTGCATTGTGGAAGTAGGCGAGTGGTTATTCACCTAGCAAGTTGGTCAATAAAGTACAGGAGTACACAGTACCTGGCCACGTCCGGGATGCATACGATGAAGAACTAGCACGGTGGCAGCGAGACGGATGGCTACTGCCATATCCTGAGAAAGAGCTTGGCCCACCTGGGGGATTAATTCCCTTAATGGCGGTCGTACAAGAACACAAACAGAAGGTCCGACCGGTACTTGACTATCGGGAGTTGAATGGCTTTGTAGACGCATTCACGGCTGACGCAGAGGTGTGTGCGCAAAAATTACGAGAATGGCGACGACAAGGAGCTGACGTATCGCTGTTGGATTTGAGAAATGCGTACCTACAGATTCACATTGACAAATCGCTATGGCCGTTTCAAACAGTGGTCATTAAGGGCAAGCGGTTTTGCCTTACGCGTTTGGGTTTTGGCCTGAATGTGGCACCACTTGTCATGAAGTCAGTGATCGACATGATAACGTCCCAGGATCAAGACATTAAGAGTGCCACGTCGGCATACGTCGACGATATCTTCATAAATGAAGGCCTAGTTTCTGCAGCGCGCGTAAGACAGCACTTTGCAGATTACGGCCTAGTCAGTAAAGATCCGGAGCGATTGAGAGACGGAACTAAGGTCCTGGGTCTGCAAGTCTGGGAAGAAAGCAACTCCCTTCGATGGAAGCGGGGAGGTCAGGTTCCAGAAATTGCTCAAAAGGTGACCCGCCGAAGCGTATTTTCCTTGTGCGGGAAACTCGTGGGTCATTTCCCTGTGTGCGGTTGGCTTAGGGTGGCAACTGCATTTATTAAGCGTTATGCAAGTACACTAACCAAAGGATGGGACGATGAGATAAAGGATGCCCCTCTTGGACGTATGCTGGAGGAAACAGTGGCCAGAGTGCGGAATCAGATCCTGTCGGCGGAGACTGGTGTGAACGGCAATGAAATGACAGTTTGGGTGGATGCAAGCTCCGTGGCCACGGGAGTAGCACTAGAGGTGAATGGGAGCATCGTGGAAGATGCTTGCTGGTTGCGTCCAACCAATGATGCCAAACACATTAATCTTGCTGAGCTTGATGCGGTGATCAAGGGCATGAATCTTGCCCTGCAGTGGCAGGCACCAGTTGTGCATGTGGTCACCGATTCAGCATGTGTGCATCGGTGGATGTCTGACACCCTGACAGGAAGGACGCGCATGAACACGAAGGCAGCGGGTGAAATGCTGATGAGGCGGCGCTTAGAGACACTGCGAGCTTTGGTGGAGGAGTACGCACTGACTATGACTGTGACGTTGGTGAAATCTTGTCAGAACCGCGCTGACAGTCTCACCAGAGTGCCGCAACGCTGGTTAGAGATGCACAAGAAAGGAGGAGAACCGGTGCAAGTGAGTTGTGTCACTGCAACGAGCCAGTTGAGTAAAACGTCAGGTGACCCACATCCACCAGCAGAGTGGGCACCCAGGTGTTAAAAGAACAATGTACTTTGCTAGGACTGTAGATCCAACGTGTTAAGGAACTGGTAAAATCTGTCGTTAGAACCTTTGAAGCCTGCCAATCGATCGATCCAGCACCAGTGCATTGGAAGAAAGGAAATTTGAGTGTGAGAAAAAACTGGAGCAGGTTAGCAATGGACGTAACCCATTGCAATGGTAGCCATTTTCTTACGCTCATTGACTGTGGTCCCTCCCGTTTTGCAGTATGGTGGCCACTGAGACGGCAACACTCTGCTGGTGTCATTCGTCAGCTAGAGACAGTCTTCTATGAACGAGGCCCGCCGACTGAAATACTGACTGACAATGACACCACGTTCACTTGCAGACAATTTAGGGAATTTGTAAACAGCTGGGGCGTGCATTTGAGATTCCGGTGCGCTTAATTGCCGTCTGGAAATGGCATTGTGGAACGCAACCACAGAAGCGCCAAAACCATAGCGGCCAGGAAAAATTGTTCAGTTTTGGAAGCGGTTTACTGGCATAACGTCACACCTAAGGACAACCTTTTCACCTTCCACGGCACCGGCTGATGTACTGCACACATACCACGTCCGGGTGAGAGGCATCGACGCGACGCCCCTGCCTGAATCACAAATAACCGAAGGGGAATACAAGAAAGGGGACATTGTCTGGGTTAAGACTCCACGTGGTAAATGCATGACCAAATTTGGAACCGGACGTGTGACCGAGGTGGTGAGTCAGCAGTCAGTACGGGTCGATGGAACGCCTCGTCATGTTAGAGACCTGCACCCTTTTTTGGGCTCAAATCCCACAACTGACGAAGAAGACACGGAGGATGGTGAACAGCCAATATACATAGAGTTGGATTCAACAACCAATCACTCCGATAGCGGTAGTTTGCCAATAGATTGGGACGTGTCTAATGAGAGCTCCTCTGATGAAGAAGTTCAACCAATCCCCCTTCAGAGGAGCACCCGGAACAAAAGACTGTATCCTCACTGTCATCTGTGTGATCAGGAGATCAGTGGGGAGTGTGGCGGACTTGAGACAGAACCTGGGACGAGCACAACTGGTCGCGACTTGCCTTGTCCCCGCCAAAAAGAGCCCGTATTTGCTTAGCATGTAAAGCTACTGCAGTTGAAATGAGGGAGAGAAAAAAGCACTTACCGCTCTGCCGTAATCCATCCTCGGCCAGATAACATAAAAGAATGAGGGGGAACTGGCATCGCATTTTTATGCAATAACGATGCAATGCATTATGGGACATGGACGCAATGAATTATGGGATCACATGAAGACGCAAGGGATTATGGGTACATGAACAACTATAAAAACAACTACTTTTTTTCCGAGTCGGGGAGTTCTTCGAGGGACATTCACGGTTGACGGCAAGAACGGGCAGTTAGTGTGATTTGGAGACAGAACTCAAGAAGGAACGACTCAAGTTTGAAATACCAGCTGGGAGAGCTTGAATTTACTCGCTGGTTACTGTTTTCTTCATTCGCCTCCGTGTCTGCATCGGAATATGTAGTGAATTAATCGATGAATTATTGTACAGTTAAGAGAATGTGAAAATCAAGAATGAAAAACCAATCCAGAAGAAGGAAATGCATAAAACTATTAGGAAATCTAACAATTATTTAATAATTATATATTGATAGTTAGTAATAATGTGGATCCCAATCATTTCTTACAGGATACTGGAAATTACATTGACATAGTCAAACTGAATGACTCACACAAAAATATATACCTGTGTATGTATGCATATATATAAAATAATATAGCAAATTGCCAAATGATTAGAACCATAGGACCTGGGTTCAAATCTTACCATGATCAATTTGTCAGGAAGTCAATTGGTCTGGGGTGGATCACAGTTTGTGGCACCCTTCAAAATTGCTTTGAAACATCAGCGTGGGTTGATCCAAGACTTGTGAGTGAAATTGGGTAGATGGAGCAGTTGATGGTTGTGCAGTCACAAGTCTTTATGACCGAGGGTACTGGCATTGTTCAAACTGCTGATCATGACAGATTATTTGCTTTCTCCTAGAAACTGTAACTAAAGTCTATTCAACATAGTTGCAGTATAAACCACAGGTGAGTTCTGTGGGTCTTGAAGAAACAAAAATGTACCTGATCAGGTGTCTGCAACAGGGTTTGGCAAACCACTCTAACATAAAATAAACCACTGTGATAGTGAGTACCTAGTACATTAAGGTGATTTAACTTTGGACTGTTTGTAGCAGTAATCAATCTGAATGTGTTTGATTATTGCAAATGTATATAACTTGCCTGCTTCTTGTCACTTTCTAAGTAATAATTATTTATAGCATTACTTTGTTAGCGTATATACAATCAAGTGATGGCTCAGTGGTTACAATAATTGACTAGATACTGCAAGCAAAGTCTATGCCTTCATTTTGGTAACAAGATGTTCAATAATGTTCAATAAATATAAAATTGATTTTAAAACAACAGGAAGTAGAACTTGAGATATGGATGATATTTGAAGCAACAATATTTAGGTTTTCTACTATACATTTCCATATGCAAAAAATATTTTAAAAATTAGTCTGAGAAAGAAAGAAAAGAAATTATGGGAGGAGAATGCGAAATTAACAAAGTAAAAATCATTTTGATACATTCCATATTAATTTTAATACTAACTATGAAACTAAAAATACAAATTCTGTATATTCAGAATATTCTGAAATATATATGGGGTGGGTAACAATATAGAAATTTTTATATATCAAAAACAATTTTAGGGGAAAAAAATGTGACAAAGTGGAAAAAGTTTTCAAGTGATGTGTTTTATCCTTTAGGATTTGATCAGACTAAAGTGATATTTATGTTGTTGAATACACATTCACACAAAAGAGAGTGGATCCTGAGAATTTTAAATTTAAATTAAAAAAATGTTTTTAAAATATATATTTTGGCTATATAGTCTAGCCAATTACATTCAATTTCTTTTTCTTTTTGTTAATGTTTTCATCACTTTTGTTATTACATAACCCATATAGTGATAATAGAAGATCTGCCAAGGAAGGTAAAATGTAAGAACCTGGACATAAATTTACAGAGCATCATCCATTGATTAAAGTGTTTTCTATACATTTTTGTCTTAGTATATTTTGCTTTCTCTTTTAATTAAAGCAGCATTTTTTAAATCAAAATTATTAGCATTAGTTGTTCACCATAATGAACTCTGACCCCATAATTTTGATTTTAAAAAATGCTAGTCTCTTCTTTGTGTGCATGTGTAGTCATGTCAACATAAACATCACTTTAGTCCAATGAAGTCTTAAAGAACAAAATGCATCACAAAAAAACCTTTTTCCACTTTGTCACAGTTTTTATTTCTAATCACTTTGTCCATTTGTCAAGGGGCATCAGTGAGTGGGCGAGTGGTTAGAATGTTCGCATTTCAATCATGAGAAACAGGTTTGAATCCCAGTATGGTTAATTTGTTAAGTAGGAGATGTTGATGTTATTGGCCTGTGGTGGTGATATCCATTTAAAAGTGCCTGAAAAACATATTATGGGTTGACCCAAGTTATGCGAGTGAAATTAGACAGATGAAATTATTCATCAATAGATGTGCTAGCATGAAGCAACAAGTCATCATGACTGAGGCTTTGAGCATACTGGCCCCTGGTTCAAACTGATCGTACCAGATGATGTGCTCTCTCTCAAAAACTGTAAGGAAGGTTGGCTCAGTGTAACTGCAGTGGGTTCTGTCAGTGGTCCACTCAAATGTCACCCCAATGACCCCGATTCACCCTATTCTGAATGGTTAGCTGTAGCTAAATTTTCATACATGCTCTACCTCTACTTTACTCTACTGACCAGTACATTACTGTTTACATGTATGATCCAAGTCAAAATTCAATACCACAAAATAATCAGTTCAAATCAAAAGATTTTTAAAATGCAACTGTTCACTTTCAGAACAACTAAATACAAAACACGGCAATACACAAAAGAATGACATTCGATACTATGGTCTTAGAATGAAGGTTTTCTTGTTTTCATTGTGGCAAACTGGTCAATAACATCGTCAAAATCTGTTTGTCTTGTAAGCTTGTTTTTAATGGACAGCACAGCCAGATCCGACAGCCATGACTGGCTCATAGTTGACGTAATTTTCTGTTGCTAATTTTCCGGTGTCCAATTTTCCGTTGCATCATCTTCTGGGTACCATTTAATTATCAATGATGTTTGAAAGTATTTTTCTTGACAAAAATGTTCTATTTAATTTTTTTCTGACGGGGGGGGACAAAATGGGGGTCATAATTATTTCTGCAGGGGTCATATGCCCACCTGCGAAACCCTGTGTCTCCACCACTGTTTTCAGACTATTTTTGGCACGTTAGTCTGGTTGAAAAATTTTGTTGGGGGTGACATTGGGTCACCCATCCTGTGCTGGCACCCAGGGCGGTCCGGTATGGTACCTAGACTTTTTTAATTTAAGCACAGTACTAGATTGGCATTGAGATTTCATCAATTTAGAGTTAAACTGGCTAGATGTAACCTTAAATTCTATGCTAGCAGTTTCTTTTCTTTTTTTAATTTCCAGCCACCTTTAATCTGCAAAAATTTAAATGCAATGTCTACCCCTATCTACTGTTCTCCTGACTACTCTTTAATCTTCCCACTCATTATTAATGTTTCTGTTCCTAATTCTTCCATGACCTGTAACGCCTTGCATTATAATGGCTTTACTGCCTTGCATGGGGTGATTCCAAATAATAATATATATATATATATATATATATATATATATATATATATATATATATATATATATATTAATTCTTCAATTCTTCTTTATATTTAAAAAATGATTTTCTCAACTTTTCTGTAAGTCAATCCATAAAAAATGTTTATAAACTACTAGAGCTTTAAGAACAGTGCACACGCACAAACATAAGTAACTAAAATTATTTATCAGCTGAGATCTAAAAATGTTTTCCTAATAAAATTAAATTACTTTTCATTGTTACAAATTGTCAAATTAATTAGGAATATAATACAATGGTTCAAAATAATTTCTATGGATTTTACTTATTTTTTTTTGTGGAAAATTATGAATTTAAGAATAGAAAGTATTTGAAAAGAAAAATACAAAATAACAAAAATTATGTCTAAATTAAAAGTTCAACAGTCCATTTTATTTGCCCTAACAGCTGTGCTAAAAATTATTTTGTTTAAAGTTTGGCACTTATTAAAAAATGAACAAGCATAATGAATTGAAATGTTTATTTTTTTTGAATATGACTATGATGAGTTTTTCAGATCTGCTATAATTAAAAAAATAATCGAAATTTTAACATTACTTTTTTTTACAATGCAGAATTTCTTTTAAGATTTTATTAGCAATCGACACCTTCTCTATTCTATTTTTTTTAACCAACGTAAAATGACTTTTATTAATTGATCTGACAAATCGAAAATTAACAAATGTTGACAACTGCGTATTTTTCAAGTTTCAACTTTTTAAAGTTTCCCTCGCAGCAGACCGATTAACTTTTTATTTATTTCTCTCATCCAAAAAGATTAGGCAAATCGACTCAGGATTATTTTTAGGAGTTACAAAATTAAATAATTATGGTTTGTTGTTAAGAATTAATCAACTGAATAACATATTATTTCCTAATATTCTTCTATTGAACTGAAAACACGTGTTTGTAGACGGCGTAGAATTCTTGGTACAATAAACAAATACCAAGTTGTTCCGCTGCTAAGGACAACAACTTTGCCTGTGGCGGTAATTTAGTTCTTTTCATTGAATAAATGAAAATTCAAAATAAACAAAGCAAAGCATTTGAATTATCTGCCCATGATGGAGGGAGCCTCTATTAGGGTGTATGAAGGGTCATGGGAGAAGGGAGATAATTTTGAATTCCATAGATTATAATAATAATAATAATAATACTAATAGTGTTCATAAAATCATGAAACATGTATTCTCGTGCCTTTGTTTGGGTTTGAAATCACATTCCAACCCAGTTTGACGTGTTTTGAAAATAAAGTTTATTATTTGAGAACTAAAGAGTGATTAAAAGGAACTATTTTATTCTGTACGTCAAAATGAAACTAAAAGTGATCATTTGAATTGATTTTTTACATTCATTCTTGTATAAAATATTGATGTCCATAATGCAATGAAAATTTAAAGGAAATCATATTCTGGGAATTTTTATTTTTATAACAATGCTTTTATTTCTTATTTATACCTCATTAAAATTGATTAAAATAAATTACTGATTGTCTGCCCATTAATATTTCTTTAGCAGGGCAAGAGTGAATTTTCAAGGGAGTTAATGTATCACTCCATAGAGAGTTGTCGTTCTTAATGTAAAAGGGTACATGAAAAAATCAGAATGGTTGTGACATTTATGACTGGAATAGCGTATATATTACTCTATTGCGCATGTGTATCATTAGCAACTTCCGGGTGCACACGTCGTCAACTGCTCATTCAGCATTTCTTTTCATCGTGGTTACGTCGTTATGTCTGCTACGATTTCGTCATGCTTACTTTCCGCCGGCGATATGTATTACGTAAAACCTTACCACGATCTCAATCAAAACCCCCCAATCGTAGAAGATGATGATGATGATATTATGTATAAAGTGAAGCCAATCAGCAAGCCGGCTAATTTGACTGAATCGGTAAGTTTAATGACCATGTGCTTTCTTTCAGAACCCATACTAGTAAGTAAACTTTCAGATTTTAACTTATCGCTAGGCGCGGTTGATTTTTATTCGCAGTTAATTTATATATTTTCGATTTTTTTTCAATAAATCCAGTTTCATTAATTGTGATTGTATATATTTAATGTCGTATTGAGTATATTTGTGTTTATTTACGTTTTTAGAAATACATTATCGTACAAGGTGGTTAGAATTGCATCATCATGAAACAGGTTAATTTTTCTTTCAGGTAGAAGCTAAAAAATGTTATTTACTTATTGTATTGATGCTTACTTGAATAAAATAAGGAATTTGACAAAATATTGCATTTTTTAGAATTGATCTGAACACGGCGAATGCCTTCCACTACGAAATTGAACGAAAAAACTATCGAGATTTTAGCTAAGCATGTTTTTTTTTTAAATCGAATTGTAGTAAGTAAATGTCCGAATAATGGCAAGCATTCAATTTAGCCATACGATATATTATGAATGATTTGCTTATTTTAAGTACCCTATTACCAGAGCAGAACTTTGATTTGATCACACCAGATTGTTTTATTGAAAAGTATTGATTTGTTTTTTTACATCTTATCAACCCCCATCATTACTGTATTTGTGATATGTTTCCTTATAAAATAGATCAGGTTGTTGCAGTAAGTTTTAAATTGTTTTGATTACTGAGTTTTAGTTTTTCGTGATGATTATGACAAGAAAAAATATAAGTAGTATACTTATTTTTCTCGTCATAATCTTACACAGTGTAATAATCGATTCTGACTTGCCATCTCGACTTCAGACACTTTCTCACCAACATAACATGGCTTGCCTCTTTTCTACAAATATTTTCATGGCAAATGCTCTGATGAGCTTTTTTTTCCATGGCGCTTTGGCTACATGAATTTAAGCATGGTATATGAATGACATCTAGGTCCCACCTGTTGAAATAGTTAAAAATGTAATCGCCACTTCTACTCCAACAGTTTATTTTCTCGCACTTCCCACTTGTGGAACTCCCTTTCATTTACTTGCTTCCCCGATAACTACAATCTTTAAAAATTTAAATGCAAAGTCAATTGCCATCTTCTGTCTTCTTGAATCCCCTTCTTTTGTCCTTTTCCTTAATCCTCCCCCCTATTCTCAGTCTTCTCTTTCCCTCCCTGTAACCCCCTGCATGCAAGTGGCGCTCCTGCCTTGCTTGAGGTAAAATGATAAAAAAGTAAGAAATATAGAGCCACACCTGTGATTAATTGATATCAGTTAACAGTGGTTATCTATGACTGCAAGTAGTATTAAAATTAAATTACTCTAATAAAAATATATTAACAAGATTACACAAACAATAATAAAACCTTTTTAGCTCCTTCCTGATCCCATGAAAAACTGACACTTTTAAAAGAATTTAAATATGAAATATTTAACTTAAATTAATATTTATATTATTTCCTTTTTGCAGAGATAACACCAAATTTGAAAACACACAGAATTACATTTTTCAAATTTTAGTTTAAAGCCAAAATGTAGGGTTCCAAATTATTGCAAAATAATTACATGCAAGGCTTTAAACTACATTACAGCTCTCACTAATCAACAACAAATATTTTACACAATTTTAATGTTAAACTAATGTTTTTTTCTAAACTAAACTTCAAATTTCTTAAAGTGCTTTCAAACAACTAAAATGAAAGATACTAAAATTACTGGTGCACAATAAGAATGTTATGTTATCAGTGAGAATATTAATTTTACTGCTAATTAGTTATAACTTGTAGTCAATAAATTTCACCACGTATATGTTATAAAATATAAAATATTACATAAACATTAGCAGGTGCAACAGAATAATGAAACTATTTTTTATCAATAACTAAGATGATGATCAGGAATATTATGGAAATTATAGCAGAGCATGATCAATTTCAAATGTCCTAGATAAAAAAGAAAAATGTTCTGAGTACATTTTATTTTAATTAAACTCAGATTGACCTTTGTTGGTAATTAAATAACCCTGCCGAGAGTTCCACAAATGCAAGAGAAGAAACTGTTATCATAGAATTTATGGTTACATCTAGCCATTTCAACTGTAAAATGATGAGACCTAGCTGACAATTTAGTACTGCACTTCATTACATTCATAAATTTTAGACAACAAATAAAAAAAAGTTCATCAGAACAATTGCCTTGAAAATATTTATAGAAAAGCTACGTTACGGCGGTGAGAAAGTGACTGAATTTGAGATGCCAAGTCAGGACCAATAATATTGCAGATTTTTCTTTGGATTTTATCAAGAATCTCTAACTAAAAATACATAGCTGAAGCACCAAACCAGATGTGACAGCAATATTCAATACATGGTCGAGTAAAAATAAGCGAGCACATTCAAAACACCATTCATTTCACATTTTGTTATGAATGATTGGATTAAATCAAGCATTCATCCTGTGACTTTATAGCCCTGGAGCTTGCAGAGAAGGCCAGTATGCTAAAAACCTGTTGAATGCACTTTGAGTAGTTTCACCATTCTTATCCAGAGCTTCTACCTGGCAGAATGAAAGACATATTGTTTGTTCGAGAATAGGTATGATACTTAACCACTTTATCATTGATTAGGGCCTTGAATACTTTGTCAAAAAGTGGTAAGAGATTAATAAGGTGATAATTTGAGGGACCAGAGGGTTCTCCAGCTTTTTTAAAAACAGGAACTTCTAACAAGCTGGGAAGCAGGAAGCAGCAAGGCAATTGTTGCAGAGTTTGGAAATGACTGGGGCCAGCTCAGGAGCCTATTTCTTTCGAACAACAGCTAGGATCCTGTCACCACTGCTTGCCTTGTCGGAGTCTAATTTGGAAATGATGTCTGAATCCAATGATGGTGGGTCATGCACATATCACTCAGTAGAGCCTCCAATTTAGAAGGGAAATCAGGTATGGGTACTACAGATGAGTTGAGATGGAAGAGAAGTTCTGAGCAAAATATGCAACCTTATCTGCTGTACATTTCAGGACTTCAAAGAGTTGATTGAAGAGTGGAGAGATTGAAGATTTGCCGTTGTTCAGAGCCACCAATAATCTCTAGAACCAAACTTGAGAGGCTATACATTGTTTCAGTCTATCAGTAATTTCACTTTTTTGAGGACATGCTTGCACTTATTACGAGCAGAGATAATCAAACCTGTTGCTCTGGTACAGCCAGAAATAATTCCTGTGAGCTACAGTAACCAAGCAAGCAGATTTAAATCTAGATGATTGTGGTTTCACTTTGTATTTCCTTACTGGAATGAAAGCTTCGATGCTGGCTTTCACCCAGGAAAAAACCCAGGAGGCTCATTTTTTGAATGGTATGATTAAAAACTTAATTCCAAAGGATGTGATAATGAAAGTCACTGAAGTCCCAAACAGTGTATTGATAACAGAAAGAGATGTTTACAGACACTACCGCATGATCAGAGTTGCCAAGAGGGCAAAGCTGCAGAGCATGATATGAGTCAGGGTTAGAGGTAAAGAAGAGATCAAGATTATTAAGAAAAACTCACAGTTTCTGAGGGTTAAATTACAAGGAGGATAATATCTGAAGGCAACTTCTTCTTCAAGTAGAGAACCAAAAACAATATTAAATGTAACACTTGATGAATAAAAAAAAATGATATTGTTCTGCATCTAATGACTGCAACTAAAATCATTAAGGATTTAAAATGACAATATACAAAACATTTAAGTTCAACAATAATTATTAAACTTAATTTCTCTAATATTTATAAGCAGGCAATCTTTAAGAAAATATTTGAGAGAATAGCACAAGAGAGCATTAGGGGAAAATATACAATCGAGCATTTAGTAAAAATTCCTTTTGAGAGTAACACACTTATTGCCTTAAAAGACAAAAATTCAAAATTTTGAACAACAATTTGATACAATTCCTTAGTAGGAAGAGTAAAATATTTGTTCAAAGCCCAGTTGTATTTAAAGATATAAATGCACAAGACTAATTGCAATATTTTTGTGTTCATTTGTGGTGTATGTATTTTTAGTTGAAATTTTTTACCAGAATGTGTTCACTGAATGTATAAATGTTCGTATATGGTCTTGAAACGTTACGTCTCTCTTTCACAGTCAAATGCAAAATGACTTTATGACTACAGCTTCTGTGGCTTTGTCAGAATGAACAAAATTTTGTTTCTTTTAAAAGTTCAAATAGGTAATTTGCAAATTCATTAGACAAACTCAAAGCTTAACAATAGTTTTGAAAAGAAAATTTGAAAATTTTTGCATAGTTAAAATCTTAAAAATATATCAGAATTTGCTGGTCACAATCTTATTCCAGATTTTAGCTTTCTGTGAAATGCAAAATTATCATCATCATCTTTGGTAATTAAAAATAAAAATGATTAAAAATGTATTTTGGTAATTAAAAAAAACAAACTTGTTCTCTCCCTGAACATCTCCAAGTCGTTGGTTAAGTGTATATGCTTCAAAATGTTGGCATCAGCAGTCTTTATATGTTGTATTCTATTACTGACATACCCTAATCTCATCTGACAGCTTTTTTTGACATAATTTAGCATAACACAAATTTACTTTTTATTTATTTTATTTGATCATAATAAAAAAAAACTCATTGTTTTTATGTTCTAAAATGCAGTTTGCCTGCAGAATGTGAATTTTTACAGTCAATGATCTCATTTCCAGAGAAAATCTTAGAAACAATTCACATGTGGTAATGAAAGACTTTAGATAAAAGTGTGTGTGTATGGAGCACACTATCTGCAAGTAAGAGGCTGTGCCATGGGTACCATTGCAGCTCCATCATATGCTACAATATTCATGGGAAAATTTGAGGAGACCCATATCTAGCCCCTCGTCAGTAGCGGCTGCATATTCTATGCAAGATATATCGATGATATATTCTTTGTATATACGGGCAGTGACGACAAACTTATCCAATTCCTTATGACCCTAAACACAGTGCACGACTCAATTAAGGT